GACTTTGACCGTCTAGTCATTGTTGGTTATTTTAACATCCATGTTGACAACCCCCAGGACAGAGGGGCTAAATAACTGTTTGTGTTCTTGATAACTATGGTGGGGACCCTCTCATGACATCCAACTATAGGCCCATCAGTATCTTACCCATAGTATCCAAGGCATTTGAGAAATTGATTGCCAAACAAATAATCAATCATCTCAACAACAGCTCCTTTCCACTGCATCCAATGCAATTTGGATTCAGGGCTAATCACTCAACAGAAACAGCGACATGCTTCTTCGTGGAGAAAGTTAAGGCATCAATGGACAGGGGTGGGGTTGTGGGGGCCCTGTTCCTTGACTTACGGAAAGCTTTTGACACTGTTAATCACAACATCTTATTGCAAAAAATACTCAACTTAAATGTTTCTATAGAATTCACCAACCTCTTTCATTCGTATCTTTCATCCCGCTCCCAATGTGTTCAAATTGAGACCCATACGTCTAATGTTTGTCAACTGGAGTACCGCAGGGCTCTGTATTGGGCCCAATCCTGTTTAGTATGTACATAAATGATCTGCCTTCTGTGTGTGGAGAATGTGATGTATTAATGTATGCTGATGATACAGTTGTTTTTACTCATGGAAAAACCGCAGAAGAGGCTGCTACCAAGGTCACTGATGTGTTGGAGAATATTACATCCTGGCTTAACAATAATTGTTTGCAACCAAATGTCTCAAAGACAGTGTGTATGTTCTTCTCCAAGGGCCGCAGCATTATAACAGAACAAGATGTTTTCTTTTCTGGAAGGAGACTACAGGTTGTCTCGGAGTACAAGTACTTAGGAGTACATATTGACACAAACCTCAATTTCAAAACCCATATCAAAAAGGTCTGCAATAAAGTAAAGTTCAATCTGTCAAATTATAGATACATTAGAAACTACCTATCATCTGCAGCAGCTAAGCTATACCTTCACTCAATGGTCCTCTCCCACATCTACTACCGTCTGATCAGCTGGTCTAATGCTCACTCTACAGCTCTAAGGCCACTGAACTAACTCCATGGTCCTCTCCCACATCTACTACTGTCTGATCAGCTGGTCTAATGCTCACTCTACAGCTCTAAGGCCACTGGAATCACTGTATAAACAAGCACTCAGAACACGAGACAAAAAGCCATTCCGGTATCATCACTGTCACATTGTTAAAAAGTATAATCTGTTCAGCTGGGAAAATCTCATAGTTTACAAAAACATCTGCTTAGTTTATAAGATCACTCGTGGGTTGGCTCCTCCTCCTCTGGCTGGCTGCATCAGCCTAAAGTCCACCTCAACCAGGGCTACTAGAGGTGCGGCTAGGGGAGACTGCACCATCCCATTTAGGAAGAGTGCATTCAGCCAGGCTGTCTTTCATTCCACGCATCCCATCAATGGAATTCAATACCACAACCAATGAGAGAGTCCTCATCCTACTACACATTCAAGCACAGTGTTAAAAAGTGGCTCATTAATAATCAACAGTGTCAGCACTGATGTGTGGGTGTAGGTGTGTGTATGAGTGCGTATTGTACACTTTGTATTTATTATCATGACTTGCTCTTATCTGTATTGAGTGATGTCATCTATTGTAAATATGTACAATGGTATAACAATGTTGTGGTATTTTTATTATTGCTTTTAGGATGTCAATCACCATCTGGCAAAGGGACTATCGATGAAAACTAGCCTTTTGGCTAATTGACTACTTTTACATGTTTTTAATATGTTGATTAATGTACACTGTCCCTTGTTTTAAATAAATCAATTCAATGGACTGACTCAGCATGTGACGGAGCCCACGCACAGTAAGGGGCACACTCTGGACTTAATGATCTCAAAGGGTCTGAATATATCTGAGGTTGTGGTGACTGATGTTGCGCTCTCTGTTCATTCCTTTGAGAGCTCTATTTCTGTTCACACAAATGTTCAAAAAGAGGTAACCACAAAGCGATATTTAACTGAAAACACTAGGGAAATGTTTACTCAGGATGTTTCTTCCACACTTGCCCCTGCTAACATCTCAGTAAATGAGCTAGTAGATCATTTTAATTCAATAATAAAAATGTTATAGATGCCATTGCTCCAACTAAGGTAAAGGAAGTGACTGGGAAGAAAAGATCTCCATGGAGAAAGGCCATGACCGTGAGAACAGGAAAAAGAGAGTGTCGAAAAGCTGAACGTAGGTGGAGAAAAACAAATCTCCAGGTTCACTTTGAAATCTATAAAGAGAGACTTGGCTTTTATCATTTGGAATTGTAAATTTCACGTAGTGTTAATTTCGTTCACTAAAACTATGACGAAATATGTTCGTTAACGACCTTTTTTTCCATGACGAAAACGAGACGATGACGAGACGGCACCGACGGCAGTAAACAATAACTGTAACGAAATCATCATGCGATATCGTTGACGAAAAGTGACGAGACGAAAATGTAGTTTACTAAATAAAAACTATGCCAAAATCTCTCTTTACTTTCGTTGACGAAAAATTAGGAGACGAAATATTATCAAAGATAACGTTACATTTCTCATAGTCAGATTTTCTCCCAGCAGTTCCATTTCCGGTGCTGCGCTGGGCAGCAGCTGTCTGTCTGCTGTGCGCGCGACGGTAGATTTGAATTACACCGGGCAGCGGCACAATATGAACTGTCAGGAAGACTCGGGTCTAACTCATGGTCTAACTAACCTTATTCAACAGAAAATGAAATGGCAACAACAGGGCTTGGGAGCAGTGGTCGCACTCGCGTTAACGGAATACCCCCCAGTCAGCGCGAGAGAGTGATACATTGTGCACTCGACGGGTAATAATGGATTATGACGGAAATGTTACGATCCTGTCCGTCAAAATGACTGACAACTAAAAAGTCTAAAGCCATCACTGCTTGGGAGAAATAAATATTTGGGCCCATTTTCGCTACAATGAGGCGGAGAAAAAAAGTGAATGCATTGTTTTATCAGAAGGGAAGCAATGTGGCCAAAACACAGCTGGTAAAAACACTACAAACCAGATACTCTCTGCAAAGCTTCTTCATCATTCAACCTGTGTTTTTCATCAAATAAGGACAAGATATAATCTTATTGTGAAATATTTTTGACTAAAATTACAAATTATTGGTTTTGGCTAGACTAGTTTGACTGAAATGTTCTATATAATCTGATAAAAAAAGACTCAACAGTTTTCTTTGACTAAAAGTAGACTAAAATGCTCAGACTTTTAGTCGACTAAAACTTGACTAAATAAAAACAGGATAAAGCTGAATATGACTAAAACTAAAAAGGAAATTTAACACAGGACTAAGACTAAAACTAAATAAAAAAAATAGCTGACAAAATTAACACTAATTGCACGACAGTCTTTCTTCTCTGACATCATTACCAAAAACTAAAACGATGGACGTGCCTTGTTTGCTACCGTCGACAAACTAACAAACCCCACAGTGTCAGTATCCCCCCCATTCAGAAAATCAGACCAGCAGTCAGAGCTTCTGCATCAGGTACAGCAGATGTGTTGTCTCTGTGTCCACCTAAAATCAATACAAACACCATGACACAGTTCCATCAGATTAATGATAAAAACCTAGAGGACATTATTCAACTTCTGAAATCCTCCTCCTGCTGCCTTGATTTTATTCCAACAGGATTTTTCCAAGATGTTTTTCCTTGCATGGCCTCAGATCTACTTCACATAGTAAACAAGTCTCTTCACTCAGGTGTGTTTCCACAGGCTCTGAAAACTGCAGTCATTAAACCGCTCTTAAAAAAGAATAATCTAGATGCTTCAGTAATGAACAATTACAGGTCCATATCAAACCTCCCATTTCTAGGTAAAATCATTGAAAAAGTAGTTTTTCAACAGTTGAGTAATTTCTTGCATTTAAATAACTGTTTGGATGTGTTCCAGTCAGGCTTTCGTCCAAACCACAGCACTGAGACTGCTCTTGTAAAAGTCTTCAATGACATCCACTTATGGTGCATTTCCACTGCAGGGCCTCGCACGGCTTAGTACGGTATAGTTAGGCCTTGGTAGACCAGGCTCACTTTATGCTGCGTTTCCAATACAGTTTAGGAACTGGGACAGTAACTATAGTAACGCAGTGTAGGCGGAGCCGTGACGTCATCTTCAATGTGTGTCACTACCCGATCTGCAGCCCTGCCCTATCTGCAGTGCGCATGTGCGAGATCGTCCGCCATATTTGACAACTCCATACGGCAACTCTAATAGGACATTTGACACAGTATCGTTTGGCAAAGCAGAAAAAGAACACTCAAAAAACCCGACAATATTAATCTGAACGAGAGAGATGAGTTATTGTTATCACAACGTGACTTCACTATTATTGAACAACTCCTTTTATTGGGTCATTTTATTGGGTTAAGTACATTGTCAGAATAAGTGAGAAATGGATGTAACTTCTGTTAGACAGCTATCATACATACTGAAGAAATATTGACTGTGAATGTATGCAATATGTATGGCTTTCATAATTTATATCTAATTACATTAACTGTGAATGTCCTTCATTTTATTTCAAATAAAATAACAAAATATTTTAATAAAGATATTTGAGACGTTTATGACTCGCGCATGCACGATGCAAATCGGGCAGCCGTCTAGACGTCAAATGTCCTATTAGAGTTGCCGTATGGAGTTGTCAAATATGGCGGACCATCCCGTACATGCGCACTGCAGATAGGGCAGGGCTGCAGATCGGGTAGTGACAATGTGAACCACAAAACCAACATCAGCCGTTAGCTGTTAGCCCTCAGAGCTCAAAGCTCCTCATATCTGTTCAGAAACTAGACAGAAGTTAAACAAGTACAAACCACAGACTGTCTGTGTCATGGCGAATACAGTCGCTGCTTTATTTATGTCTGTATAGGGCGTTCCGAGCTGAATAAGGGCGTCAAATGAAGGCAAGACGCCCGCCTGGCGGAAACGCTGGAATTAGGAATATATTGTGATGAAGTGCACACTGACCTGAGCTCCAGGGGTCTCTTTCTTCTCCTCCATGCTGCTCATCAGATGTCCTGATGAAGACCACAGAGCTGCTTCATTATTAATATAATACAAATATTTAGATATAATTCATCATAAACTGTCAGGAGTGAAGAGGAGGAATTCAAAGAGTTTATTCAATGATATGTTCTATTTCTAGATGCTTATATGTAGTGTTTTATCACACCATGTGCAGTGCCTTGTCTTATCTATGCTGCTGTGACTTTAACATGTTCCAAATTGATCCATTTAGTCAATGTGATGCTAAGCAGAGGAGAAAATGATAGAAAGGTCAGATAGTTATTAACGTTAGTGCCTTGTCTTATCTATAAAAGTTGGTTTTCTGTGTAAATTTAAATTATTATTAATATAATACAAATATTAAGATATAATTCATCATAATCTGTTTAGCAAATTACATTCTAACTTACAGCTCAGAGTTTGTTCACTTTTATTTCATTAAAATGACTTTATTCACATAGAAAGTGACATTAATGGATGTTTGAACCACAGTTATAATGCTATCCGTGTGTAACTATCACTAAGTTAACACAGAAAGCAAACATTAGCTAGTGAGACTGTTTAATGTACTCCATGTATACAGTATTTGCTGTATATTGTGTATTCTTTAGATACTCTAGTGATATGTGTCCTGTGTGTATACTTGCTGCTAATGCTTCATGTTTATTATCTTATTGCATCTTTTAAATATGTTTAACTCGTGTAATGCCTGAAAACACTTCTGCTGTGACACATTCATTTCCCAGTTTAAGAGAAATCATTATTTAAATAAAGTATATCTATTTATCTAATGAGCTAAACCGTCGCTTAGCTTAGCTTAGCTGCTAACTGAAGAACCCCATTCATTTCAATGGGAAAAACGCTACGTCGCGGTGAATGACGATGCTAATAAGCTAGTTAGCATATATTTAAAACCATATCTATGGTAAAGAGCACCAACACAACAACTCAACCCGTCTTAAAGACAACTGGTGTAATAAATAACTAACATAAAGTCAGCTGAGCATTACAAATCAACTGTTACTCCCCCAGAGCCGAACTGGAATAATAACTGTAGCTTTCAGACTTTATTTAAAGATAGTTTGAGACTATTTTTGTCGCACATTTTAAAGTTTTTTTGTGAGTTTCTTTCTTCCAAGATTATAGCTGTTGTGTTAAATAAGATAACTTCTGATTCGTGATTAACTGTAAGCTAAGAGGTGTACATACACTCACCTCTTCTTTTCTCCTTCTCCTCTCGGTTTTTGGCGGATTGCAAAGAACTTTAAAGGTGCATCTTCTTCATCTTCTTCTTCTTCTTCTTCTTCTTCTCTCGTTTTCTTCTTCTTCTTCTTTCGTGTTTATTGGCGGTTAGCAAACCAACTTGTAGGTGCATTACCGCCACCAACTGGACTGGAGTGTGGACAAGAGACTATGCAGAAAACAAGAAACAAAAGAAACAAAACAAAGAACCAAAACTCTAGATTATTTTAAATTGATCAATTTCTCTTAGAAACTTAATCATCTCACAATATATATTGCCTGATGTTTTCCCTAACAGCCCTGATAGCGACAAGTCATGGCATTTTGCTTTCTTGAGTGTCTGGAAAAGCACATTTCTTTTTTTTATATAAAATAACAATTTCATTATATGGATTCAACTTGTGCCCCCCCCCGCTGGACTTGTCTGTGGTTTAGCCGTTACTGTGACATCAGTATCAGCCATGGAAGATAGTTTGTTTGTTTCATTCTAAGCTATCCAGCAAGGTTATTTTCATTTATGTTGTTTTTTTTCTGCACAGTGTAGAGTCTTGTTGTGATGAGAGGGATGGAGGTATTTAATAAAAACCTTGCTCGCTGGAGAATAGCTAAAGAAGTCCTGTCACAAGTTAATCGGAGAGGATCACAGCTGGCCACGGATCTCGATGCTGCATTCGGGCTGTGAGTAAACAACTTGTGTCTTAATTTTAGGCTGTCTGGAGGTATGGACAGCTATCAAAGCTACTAAACATCACATTAACAACGATGTACAAATGAAAGTCGGAGACAAATACATATTTGAAATGATTTATTCACGTTTGCAATGTTTTTGAACAGACATCCCCAGTCACCTCATTGTCATTTTGTAGTCCTCGCTGTACGCGTCCGGATATCGGCATCGCAACCACAACCTCACACACTGGTACTGAATGTGCATCAAAGTGTTCCTATGGAGCCAAATATACCAAAAGATAAACGTAAACAACAAAAGAAGCGATCGAAATGTGTATTTCCTGGTTATTCGACAATGGCTCCTCAAAGTACACGCCCCATTCCTACCGTTAACGTAACGTAACGAGTTCCCCGGTGTAACCAGTTAAAGGGTAACACCGTCTCGTCATCGTCTCGTTTTCGTCATGGAAAAAAAGGTCGTTGACGAACATATTTCGTCATAGATTTAGTCAACGAAATTAACACTACTCCACAGTCGATCTGAAACTTCACCAGCTCCTTGCCGATTAGCAGGGCGTGGCGGGTGCTGTATGCTAGGGAAGACTAAGCCTTCCCAAATATTTGTGTCACTGCATCCTGGTAAAATACAAATATAATGTCTGTGTCTTTAACATTAGCGCTGCTATGCAGCCACCTGTGCCCTGTACTACGAAGCCAGTTCAACATACCCATGATATGTTTGAGTAGCAAACAAACTAACAACAACAAACTAACAAACGAGATCTCCCTAAGCGGTCCTACGACGCTGGTTATCAACTCGGTAAATCAAGCCAGGGTTTCTCTCACCAGCTGAGAGCGCGTTCACGGGGGTGGGGTTAGCTACATTTGACCAATCACAAACAGGGACAAGTGTACTGACAGCGCAGCGTCATACTTCATTAATGAAAAGTAAACTAATATTAGACAAATATGAGCTTTAAACATCCATGACTTAAACATATAATCCAGGAAACCACAGAGTTGCACCTGTAAGGTGAATACAGAACAACTGGTTAAAAAATAACTAGGCCTACCGAGTGTTTGAAAGCGTATAGTTTTATGATATATCTGCCCCATCTAAGACACGAGTGGATCTGACTTTAATTACATTTGACTCGAGTGTTTCGTCAACATAATGTGTTGCATAAAATAATACTTCTGCATACAGTATGTGACACTGTAAGTGTTGCACGGCCAGATACGGCTCAGCTGACTCAGATAAGGAAATATATGATATATTATGATATTATATGATCGATGATCTGATTGATGATGTAATATGAATGATATTGACACGTCGGCGTCTTCTCTGCATACGGCAGTTTAAACTGTATTTCCTTTATCCTGTAATATGACTTGAGAGATTTAAACTCCGCACACTGAGTTGATCTCTTTTCTATAGACGCCGGAGGTGGGCAGCGTCAGGTAAAAAAAGTTATTCAGCCTTCCCAAACCTGAGCCTCACGCGCCGCCTATGTCCTTGTCGATTAGCATCCCTGCGAAAAGCTGGCTGTTCTTGGCTTTGTCCTCCCCGGCCTCTTTACCAGTCACTGTCAGTATCTCTGTAGTGGTGACACTCAAGATGTCCTCATATTCCTCACTGTCCTGTTCAGTCACTTGGTGTACTTGTCTTCCTCTCTTGTCTTTATCCTGTGTGGTTTTACATTTGACAGAAAAATGATTTTTCTTTACCACATTTTTTGCAGCGCTTTCCAAAGGCTGGACACCTCATATTACAAGAAAGGACGGTTGAAGCACTTTTAGCTGCTTACACTTTATTCAACTTGTACATAGAACGTAGCATAACATTTACACCCTGGCTTCATCCGCATGCCTGCTCCGGTGTGTGTTCCCCTCAACAGGGTCCGTGTGGAAACATATAACAACTATTAGCTGGAAACCTCACATAAAACATATTCATTCCAAAGTCTCAAGAAGTATTGCAACAAGGCAAAACAGATTCTTGATACAAATTCTCTCTACATTATTTACTGTTCATTGGTGTTACCTTATTTAAGTTACTGTGCAGAGGTTTGGGGCAGTAATTATAAAACTACAACACAATCCCTATTTATTCTACAAAAAACAGCAATAAGACTTATTAAAAATGTTGGCTATAGGGATCATACAAACCCATTATTCTTAGAGCTAAAATTATGAAAAAAAATGTTCAATGACCTGGGAATATTCAGATATTGTTCAATGAAAGACATATATATATAGAGAGAGAGATTGTAAGAGCCATTTAGGCACATTATTTTATGGTAATGAATTATGGGTTTGTGAGCCAATTGAATATTATTTAGGCCTAAATGAGCTGAATAACTATGAATGATTATTTTACAGTTTTGTAACGTGTTATCTTTCTTATGGACAGCTCTAATTTACATGTTGTTATTATTTATAAAAAGCAATCGTTGGAGCGTGCTCAGGTATAAATGACGCTGCCAGCATGACACAGCAGGAAGTCTAGAGAGGAAGTTGGAAAAAAGTTTTTGACCGCACACATCCGTATGACCAAGGGATCTTGTTTGTTTATTTGTTTAAATACCGTGCAAATGTTGCACGTCGGCAGTGGGCCGCCAGCTGATCTATTGAACCTCTCAATAAAGCACCTGAATGGAACGAGCAAGGTATCTGATTTTTTGAATATACGCGAGTCAATACTCGAGCTCGCCTCCTAGACTAAGTGGCCTTTGAACATTAATTTTCTTTGGACAATTGGCCACCACATTAAGTCAAAAACTTCCGACAACATCGTGAGGATTACTAGCGTGTGTAGGAACCTACTATCACTGGAATTGTCTGATCGTGGCTACTGGAGCCGCGGCAGAAACAAAGTGGATCTGATCTTGGCTACTGGGGCAAGGGACCATTTGGATTATCCTCTACAGTGTGGACATGGACTGCAGGCTGTCACGCTACTCTGCATGCCTTTCCGTTGGAGTTCGAGCCACTTGGTAAAACAGCTGTTGTCTTTTGTTCAGCCAACCCGGCTGAATAATGTCGGAGGACAGCGCCACTGAGGGTGCGTTTACGGTCGACGACCACAAGAGGGAGGCAAAACCAACGGAAAATGCCATGGAGCAGCGGCTACAGCTCTGCATCAATGCAAGGAGAGGTACATTAAGACAACTCACTGCCAAAATGAATGAAGTTGAGCCTTTAATGGGCAACACCTGTAACTTGATGGAAGTTATCTAAAATATGAAACTTTTCAAGGCAATCTTTGAGGAGTTTAAAGACTGTAACTGCTCAGTTGTGCTTTTTATGAATGAAGAAGAAAAGAGCCATGATCAAGAGTGCTGGTTTGAGCCTAAATCTCAGAGGTTTCAGGACTTTATTAATGAAGCTGATGTGTGGATTAATTGTGATGAGCATTACAAAGAAATACCACAAGCCTGCAACGATGATGTTTCTCATATGGACAGTGTATCTGTGGTGTCAAGATCCAGTAGAGCTAGCAGGGCTTCATCCGCTTCAACAGCATCCTCAGCACGACTAAGAGAGGAAGTAAAGCGTGCAGCTTTGGAAGCCAAGGCTGTCTCGCTAAAGCAAAGTCAAGCCTTGGCAGTTAAGGAGGCACATCTTCGGGCTGAGAAAGAAGAACTGAAAATTAAAATTAAGTCGCTTTGGATAAAAGCGTCAGCTAAATGCAATGTAATGTAATAAAAGTAGGGTAGACATGTGGATATTATCCGACTGAAAAAAACTTGCATTTATCTAACAGGTTTGTTTTCCACTGACCTTATTTTCCAAAATCCTATGGAGAACTCCCATTGCTTTCTGTCGAGGGAAACCGAGAGCAGCTTACTTCCGGATTTTAGGACGCCACTGGTAACAATTACAAATGAATTAAGTCGGCACGGCGGTCCACATTGAAAATGACTTAGGCCTACCTTTGATGATCAAATCACTCAAACACAAAGTCCATCCTCCTGTCCTTTTGGATGAAGCACTTGCTTCAGCTGATCCTTTGCCACTCAATCTTGAAAATGACTCGGTTAATAATTTCGCAACGATGTCATCACTATCACTGAAGTGAGCCATCATGAACGAACTTATGCTAATTATAAGTCTATCGATCATAAATCTATCGATTAGATTTATGATTCGAAAATATTAAAAGTAGGGTAGACATGTGGATATTATCCGGCTGAACAAAACGTGCATTTATCTAACAGGTTCGTTTTCCACAGACCTTATTTCGAGCTATTTTCCAAAATCCTATGGAGAAATCCCATTGCTTTCTGTCGAGGGAATCCGAGCGAAGCTTACTTCCGGGTTTTAGGATGCGTCACTGCACCACTTGCATAGACTTCACAGAGGGCGGAACTTGTCATAAAGTCCGCGAAAATAAAGCCTGCCCATTTAGAGGGAAGATATTATTGGTCAATTGTACTGTCATTTGACATTACACTCTCATTGAGTTACTATAGCTGGCCCTCTGTGAATGTAGAGGGGGACCAACAAGCTCTCCCGTCTTCACATAACTCGCAGAGTTTTAACCCATTTAATCCTTCACATTCCAACAAAAACTGAACGATTTATTTCTTTGAAATATTATTTTTAAATACAATTAAATCAAGTTATTTTGGTAAAACTAATGAAAAATGTAACAACAAAAAAATATTTAAAAAAATATTAAAAATAAAAAATTTTTTTTTTAATGTTTTCAAATATTATTTTTTAGAATATCTTAGGCCCTCACAGAGGGCCTAGAGGGCCCTGACGGCTCACCACTGGTATTGACCCACAGCTCCAATCTCGTCCATTCCACCCTGGTTGTTCCCATTGTCAAGTGTAGACCTCAATATACAAGAGGAGTTAAAGGAAAATAAAGAACTACCAGTATGGCGCATAGTCCAGAATCACTCAGACTCAACAATCATATTTACAGATGGCTCCAAAGATCCAGAGACAGGGCGTGCAGGGGCAGCAATGTATATCCCAGTGAGTAATACACATATAAAGAAAAGGGTAACAGACCATGTGTCAGTATACACCACACAGTTGTTGGCATTGGTACTGTCATTGAAATGGATAGAGGAGAAAGAAATACATAACAGTGTAATTGCATCTGACAGCTTTTCAGCATTATCGAGTATACGATCAGGCAGATCTTCATCTAGAATGGACATCATAAATGAAATATTTCTAATTTTATATAAAATGCAAATCAAAGGCATAGCAACTCGTTTCATCTGGGTTCCTGCTCATGTTGGTGTGGAGGGTAATGAACAGGTGGATATTCTGGCCAAACAAACACTCAGAAGTATGAACATAGACATAGAAGTTCCACTCAGCAAAGCGGAGGTTCAAACATTCATTCAGAAATATGCACAAACAACATGGCAAGATCATTGGGACCTTAGTGATACAGGAAGACATCTTTATCACATTCAAAGGTATGTGGGGGATGGAAGGAGGGTGGGGTTTAAAAGAAGGGAGGAAAATGTCATTTCTCGGATGAGAATAGGTCATACAGGTCTCAATCATACATTAAGTATAATACAGGTCTCAATCATACTTTAAGTATAATACAGGTCTCAATCATACTTTAAGTATAATACAGGTCTCAATCATACATTAAGTATAATACAGGTCTCAATCATACTTTAAGTATAATACAGGTCTCAATCATACTTTAAGTATAATACAGGTCTCAATCATACTTTAAGTATAATACAGGTCTCAATCATACTTTAAGTATAATACAGGTCTCAATCATACTTTAAGTATAATAGGAAAGCATCCAACCGGAAAGTGTATACACTGCAGCCAGCCAGAAACTGTTGAGCATGTTTTACTGCTTTGCAGGAAATATAGTACTCGGAGAAATGTGCTTTTCCAGACACTGAAGAAAGCAAATTCCATGACTTGTCGCTATCAGGGCTGTTAGGGAAAACATCAGGCAATATATATTGTGAGATTATTAAGTTTCTAAGAGAAATTGATCAATTTAAAAATAATCTAGAGTTTTGGTTCTTTGTTTTGTTTGTTTTGTTTCTTGTTTTCTGTATAGTCTCTTGTCCACACTCCAGTCCAGTTGGTGGCGGTAATGCGCCTACAAGTTGGTTTGCCAACCGCCAATAAACACGAAAGAAGAAGAAGAAGACAAAGACAAAGACAAAAGAAGAGGATTAAACACATGCAGAGGTTTCATTAAGTGCATTTATCTTAGCTTACAGTTAATCACGAACTATCTTTAAATAAAGGCTAACACAGCAACAGTCTAAAAGCTATCGTCTAAAAGCTAAAGTCTGAAAGCTATCGGCTAACATTTACAGTTATTATTCCAGTTCGGCTCTGGGGGAGTAACAGTTGATATGTAATGCTCAGCTGACTTTATGTTAGTTATTTATTACACCAGTTGTCTTTAAGACTGTTTCAGTTGTTGTGTTGGTGCTCTTTACCATAGATATGGTTTTAAATGTATGCTAACTAGTTTATTAGCATCGTCATTCACTGCGACGTAGCATTTTTCCCATTGAAATGAATGGGGTTCTTCAGTTAGCAGCTAACGCTAAGCTAAGCGACGGTTTAGCTCATTAGATAAATAGATATACTTTATTTAAATAATGATTTATCTTAAACTGGGAAATGAATGTGTCACAGCAGAAGTGTTTTCAGGCATTACACGAGTTAAACATATTTAAAAGATGCAATAAGATATAATAAAAATGAAGCATTAGCAGCAAGTATACACACAGGACACATATCACTAGAGTATCTAAAGAATACACAATATACAGAAAATACTGTATACATGGAGTACATTAAACAGTCTGACTTGCTAATGTTTGCTTTCTGTGTTAACTTAGTGATAGTTACACACGGATAGCGTTATAACCGTGGTTCAAACAACCATTAATGTCACTTTATATGTGAATAAAGTCATTTTAATGAAATAAAAGTGAACAAACTGTGAGCTGTAAATTAGAATGTAAGTTGCTACACAGATTATGATGAATTATATCTAAATATTTGTATTATATTCATAATAATTTACACAGAAAACCAACTTTTTATCGTAATGGTTAAAGTAATTTGCATGTAACGTTAATAACTATCTGACCTTTCTATCATGTTCTCCTCTGCTTAGCTTTAAATTGACTAAATGGATCAATTTGGAACATGTTTACGTCACAGCAGCATAGATAAGACAAGGCACTGCACATGGTGTGATAAAACACTACATATAAGCATCTAGAAATATAACATATCATTGAATAAACTCTTTGA